AAGTTGTGGGGCCAGCAGTGTGGTGCTGCAGGTTAAAGCCCTGGCCTGAAGGGGCCAGCATCCCATATGGGCATTGGTTCATGTCCCAGCTGCTCCTCTTCTGATCCTGCTCTTGGCTATGGCCTGGGAAGGCACTGGACAATGGCCCTGGTCCTTGGGCCCCTGAACTCGCATGGGAGACCCAGAAGAAGCTCCTGGCTCCCAGCTTCAGATCAGCACAGCTCCGGCCGTTGAGGCCATTTGGGGAGTGAACCAGCAGATGGAAGACCTCTCTCTCTGGCTCTACCTCTTTCTGTAACTCTATCTTTCAAATAAATAAAACCGATCTTTAAAAAAAAAAGTTGTTTTCAATGGGAATACTCTAACAGAATCATTAATAAAGTCAGGTTTAAAATATTAAATTTATGTCTTTATGTTTCAATTTTTTTGCAAGAATGTTTGGCAAAATTTTCAATATTTTTATCAATAATTCCACAAAAACATCTTCAACTATGTCTTTTAAATTTATCATGAAAGTAAATACACCATTTCTTCGTAATTGAAACTGTTGGACCAACGTACTTCTTTTCTGAGTCAGCATTTGTCCCAAAGACAGATTGTTCTGTAACTATTTCAGCAAAAAGACCCAAGCCCGGGGCTGGCACGGTGCCAGCATCCCATACAGAACACTGTTGAGTCCTGGCTGCCCACTTCCTCCAGTCCAGTTCCCTGCTACTGTGACTGGGAAAGCAGTGGAAGGTCACCCAAGTACTTGGGCTCTTGCCACTGGTGTGGGAGACTCAGGTGGAGTTGTTGGGTTCTGGCTTCAGCCTAGCTCAGCTGTTGCAGCCATCTGAGGTGTGAACCAGTGGATAGAAGATACAAATCAATTAATCAACCTTTAAAAATGTGCATTACACATGTATTATTATGCACAGATCTGAAATTTTTCACACCAACCCCCTCCTTTTAATCCATCTCCCCTCCAACTTCCTTAAGTACCTCTTTTCCTTTCTGTGCAGACCTGTCCGAGGTTACTCCATCTGAAGGCACCTGCCCAGCTGTGCCTGGAAGTCATGTATCCCATGAGGGAAAGAACTGTGATTCCTTGTCCTTCTCCCTACTAAGCAGAGCTGTCTGACTCACAGAAGTCAGAGCTTAAACGCCAATTCCTCATCTTTATCAAAACTGAGGAAATGATCTCCGATGTGCCCACCTTTCAGCTATTCACTACTAAGGAATGAGCAAACATAAGGCGGTTCTGGCCACAAAAGACCAGAAACCATTCTGCGCAGTCTGAATAGCAGACAGCAGAGTAAAAGGAAGCCAAGGGAGATCCTGAGAATGACTCAGATACAGCAAAGGCAGGTCACGAAGACCCCAAGTCAGCAGAAAGAACATCAACCAGCAATGCCACCAGCAGCTCCCAGGGCAGCCACACCAGGGCCCAGTAATCCCTGTGCTCTCCAAGACGCCGGATTTAAAATGCTATCTTCCTGACCTTCTCTTCCTACCCTCTCTGATCAACTGACTTTAATTGCTGATCATATCACTGATGACAATGAACATATTTTTAGGCCTATGCTCTTAGCTTTCCAATTGCTTTTCAACACTGTCACTTTATGTACAAAATTTTCTTTTTTCTTATAGCTCTCTATATAAATCTTTTTCTTTATAAATTTTGGATTTTCTACTAGGCTCACAACTGCCTGCCTGGGGCCAGCATTGTGAAGTAGTAGATTAAGCCACTGCCTGCGATGCTGACACCTTGTAATAGGTGCCGGTTTGAAACCTGGTGGCTCCACTTCTGATCCAGGTCCGTGCTAATGCGCCTGGGAAAGCAGGGGAGGATGGCCCAAGTGCTTGGGCCACTGCACCCACGTGGGAGACCCGGAAGAGGCTCTGGGCTCCTGGTGGCTTCAGCCTGGCACAGCCCTGGCCATTGCGGCCATTTGGGGAGTGAACCAGCAGATGAAATATCTCTCTCTCCATCTCTCCCCCACCTCCTGTATCTCTGCTTTTCAAATAAACAAAAAATAAATCCTTAAAAACTGTTAAAAAATATGAATGCAAAATTTCTTATTCAGAGATTAGCCATTATTTACAATGAAATAATGCTATCTTTTTCTGAAATAAGCTGTTCTAGTAGAAGCTCATTTAACAATCTCATTACCCTATCCAGTTTGAAGAGTAGCAGCTTTCATCATAGCATACTGCTTAGGCAAAAAAGTCAACCAAGGAGTCCACTTCAACATATATGACTCTTCTCCAGTCAACCACCTACTGAGAGTTTGGGGTGGGGTTGGGGCAGTATCACAGGATATTCTTTATATATTATTATACTACCTAAATTGTATGCTCTGTTAAATTTTTGTTTATAACTTATTTAAATTTGATAACATTTTTCAAAATTATAAGCCCATGATTTGAGGGTATTTTAAAAACTAAATAGCATGCTTTTTAGAAACGGATTCTATATTAATGAAGTGACAGAATTTCTATTCCTAGTCCTCATCCAAATCAGTGGCAGTAAGTTGACAAAATACACCATCAAGCCTGGACAGGCATTTTAGTGTGTATCAAGCAGAAACATTTTGATGCAGACCTGTGTCTTCATGTCCTAATAGGCATGGAGGCATCCATGGCTATGGTAAAGTGGAAGGGACAGATGGCATGAGAAGAGAATTCAGAGCATCTTGAACAATCTAATTAAACAAGGTAATATGAGGATATTTCTAAACACTTGTGGGAAAAATGCAATTAAAAGATAAGTTTATTTTGGTGTAAAAAAATCCTGGCTGGCGCCGCGGCTCACTAGGCTAATCCTCCGCCTTGCGGCGCCGGCACCCCGGGTTCTAGTCCCGGTCGGGGCGCCGGATTCTGTCCCGGTTACCCCTCTTCCAGGCCAGCTCTCTGCTGTGGCCAGGGAGTGCAGTGGAGGATGGCCCAAGTACTTGGGCCCTGCACCCCATGGGAGACCAGGAGAAGTACCTGGCTCCTGCCATCGGATCAGTGCGGTGCACTGGCCGCAGCGCGCCGGCTGTGGCGGCCATTGGAGGGTGAACCAATGGCAAAGGAAGACCTTGCTCTCTGTCTCTCTCTCACTGTCCACTCTGCCTGTCAAAAAATAAATAATAATATAAAAAAAAATCTTGAAATCCACAGGGCTACCACTGTGGCATATGGGTAAAGCTGCTGCCTGCCTGTATGCTGGCATCCAATATGGGTGCTTCGTGTTCTGCTGGTCCTCCTCCAATCCAGCTCTCTGCTAGTGGCCTGGGAAAAGCAGCAGAGGTTGGTCCATGTGTTTGGGCCCCTGCTAACCATGTGGGAGACCTGGTTTTGGCCTGACCAGCCCTGATCATTGTGGCCATTTGGAGAGTAAACCAGCAGATGGATCATCGATCTCCGTCTCTCACAAATTTTTTTTAAAAAAATCTTAAAATTCATGTATAGTTCTTTTCATAGTATGCTTTCCCACAAACTTTTGACGGTACCTCATATATAAATTACCATCTAGACAGGAACAGGGCGAGAGGCTACATTATAGGTGAAAACAAGATGAGCTTTGGGGGAGCTGACTCAATCATGGGATGCCCTCAATTATTCTCCCACCATTATATTTGCCATTGATGCTCTGAGTGTGGTGTTCTAAACTTGATCTCACATTCCAAATGTGATTTGATCAGTCAGGACAAGCTATCCATGTGTTTCATAAATGCAGTCTTAAACTTCGTTATTAGTTTTAACAGTCTTATTACATGGCTGAAAGTCTTTGTTCTGGGGCCAGCACTGTGGTGCAGCAGGTCGAGCTGCTGCCTGCAACACGAGCATCTCGCCCTGGATGCCCTGCCTCCTATCCAGCTCCCTGCTGACGCCCAAACAGTTGGGTCCTGCAATCCATGTGGGACACTCAGACGGATTCAAGGTTCCTGGCTGTTGAGGCCATTTGGGGAGTGATCCAGTGTCTGGAAGATCTCTTTGTCTTTGTCTGTCTGTCTGTTAAATAAATAAAACAATCTTAAAAAAAAAAAAAAAGCTTTCCACTGAGCAATTTAATTGACCTAAGTTTTCATATTTCATATTTCAAGTTCTGCATATTTCATAGTGAGCCACATCTTACCCATTGTTTCGTATTGCATTTAGGGTCCTTGCCTACAGGACTGAACAATCATTCCTATTAAATTCCTTTTGATTTAGGTTCAGTATGATATTCAGAATGTTTCCTTGGACCTTGATTCTGTTATCCAGAGTACTATTAGTGTCCGACCAGATTCCAACTACAAATCTGATCAGCAAGTCACATAGGTGTTCCTTCACTCTCTGCTCAAAGTACAGACAGGAAAATGAAGACACAGCACTGGAACTTTCCAACTAAAGCCAGCCATCAGACTGTATTCTGTGCGCAGTTATTCCAACAACCAGGAGGCCACCCAGCTGCACTACCACCACCAAGGGTGTCTACAGATTTCCTGGTCTCCAGACTATATACTATATATACTATACTATACTATATACTATACTATACTATATTCTATACTGCTCCCCCACTGCCTCCCCTCCATTTAAATGCTGATTACAACCCAAGACAGGATGGGGCCTGCAGTTAACAAAACAAAGACTTAGGATCAATCTGAGCATCTCTTTTACTAATAATCTTACTAATAACCTTATTCACAATGCTGAACCCCTCAAATCATCACAAAGGTTTGATTGATTTAAGACTTGAAATTAAAGTTGCATCATTTAGAAACATCTTTACTACATCACTAACAGGTTTCTATGAATAAAGGTCTTCTACCAATATGGATCTGTGATCTTTAGTTTTATCTACATGATTTATTCACAAGATAGCCTAAAGAATTTAGACTTACAGTATCCTATTTTTAGAATTAGTTTCAGAACCTGTGAACTTCAACTATTTGACAAATTACCAATGTATTTAACAAATGAAAAGTTTACCAATGTCTGCATTTTAAAAATATACACTTTCTATCTTCAAAGAGGAGTTATAATATATATTTCTCATCTGACTACCACATTTTCTCCAGTTAATAGATTTTAGTGGCTATGCTTATGGGATAGATTAAAATTGCCAAGATCTGAAGAGGGTGTGGTTTTGGTACCCCCTTTCTTTATGAAATGGCTAAACAGAAAAAAAGTATAACTTATTTTTTCTTCTGGTTATTCACTTTGCCAAAAGGTTGTGCAAGCATGGCGAGCATCACTGTCTTACCCATGTTTTGGTAAATAAGAAAAGCAAACAGCCAATCCTGCTTTTAAAAAAATAGTCCCTTAAAAATAATGCCTTATTCAATTCAATCCTTGAACTGTAAACAAATAAGAAAATTTGAAACAAAATTCAAATACAGAAAAAGTCTTTTAGAAAATTATTTCGGCCGGCGCCACAGCTCAATAGGCTAATCCTCTGCCTAGCGGCGCTGGCACACTGGGTTCTAGTCCCGGTCGGGGCACCGGAGTCTGTCCCGGTTGCCCCTCTTCCAGGCCAGCTCTCTGCTGTGGCCCGGGAGTGCAGTGGAGGATGGCCCAAGTGCTTGGACCCTGCACCCCATGGGAGACCAGGAGAAGCACCTGGCTCCTGGCTCCTGCCTTCGGATAGGCGCCGGCCGCGGCGGCCATTGGAGGGTGAACCAACGGCAAAAGGAAGACCTTTCTCTCTCTCTCTCTCTGTCTCTCTCTCTCACTGTCCACTCTGCCTGTTTAAAAAAATATTATTTCGGTTTTAGAGAGTAAAGGCAAATTTAAAATGCTATGGTTCTAAAACGCTACACCTGAGAGTGGTGAAATGATTTTTATTTTTTCCTTTTAGTCATGTTGATGAAGACCTGTGTTTGTTTGTTTTTTACAGAGAGTTAGACAATGAGAGAGAAAGGTCTTCTTTCCGTTGGTTCACCCCCAAATGGCTGCTACAGCCGGTGCTGCGCTGATCTGAAGCTAGGAGCCAGGTGCTTCTCCTGGTCTCCAGTGTGGGTGCAGGGCCCAAGCACTTGGGCCATCCTCCACTGCCTTCCCGGGCCACAGCAGAGAGCTGGACTGGAAGAGGAGCAACCGGGACTAGAACCCAGCGCCCATATGGGATGCCATCGCCACAGGCAAAGGATTAACCAAGTGAACCACGGAGCCAGCCCCCTGTTTTTTGTTTTTGTTTCTTAAAAAAACCACCAACAATTTTTCTTTTAAAAATATGTACCCTTTTTCTACAGGATCAGATACAAACCTGGAAAACCACTCTCCTTCAGGGTCCACGCCCTGCTATTTCTGCTCTGGCCAAACGCCCACAAAAGCATAATCACGCCACAAAACCAGCCTGCAGCAAACCACCATAGTTGGAGATTTAAGGTTTGTTTTCTTTGTAAACCATTCAAAGGTTGCCATTTGGTCTATTTGGTATATCAACTTTTTCCAGCAGAAATATCTAGAGTCTCAGAATGCAGGATCACACAGGACACTCCACCCACTCAAGGGTGATTTCTCTGAGAATTCTCAGTAAACCTGGCCTTGCATACTCTACAGCAACACACTAACTGGCTTAAGAAGGCTTCACTCTAGGTTGGAAGATTCTAGATGAAGAAATGGGAGTTAAGAACTGTTGGACTCCAGAGGAAACTACTGAACCTCATTTGTCAGCTGACTGGCATGATCAAATGTAAAAGCTCTGCCTGGATCTGAAGGAAAAGGTTCACAATGACACTGCTAAAAGTCAGTTCACAGACCACAGGATAACCTGGCCTGTAAGCATACTAAGAAGTGGGACATACTCATCAAGTATGGTTCCAGGACACAGACTGTATCTGGGGAAGTAGGGGTGCAAGTGGCACGCATGCATGCGCAAACGCGCGCACACACACACACACACACTACAGAAGATTAATACATACCACATTACCAGATCTGGTATGAAAAAACTCCAGGTAAGTGAGATGGGTATCAAGTGCAGAGGACAGACAAGGCACTATACCAGACTTCAACAGCCTTGTAGACGGAAAAATTCAGATAAAGTCAGAAAATGAAGTACGCAACTGACTGGAGAGCTTTATGCAGTAGTCTGAATTATAACGAGAACAAAAATTATCTTGTAATTTCATCGAGCTCTTGTGAGTAATTATGCATCAGGTGAAAACCTCACTGTAAACTCAAGTGCTGTGTACAGAGCAGTCACATGCCTTGCTTTACTGCTCCAAGAACATTCCACACTTTATGGAGTGGTGCTTTCCAGGTAGTGCTGACATCACATGACAGTCAAGCTGCAAAACTTGCTTTTAACCTGAAAACTGCATCTATAAGGCACAAGAAAAGCATCTCCTATCCAAGGGAACGTATAAAGTTAGGTTTTAGTGAGAGGCCTCAGGAAGAGCTATAATGGGTAGAGTACCTTAAGTTAAAAATGTCTTTCCCTCTGCAAAAATTCAGAGTAAGAGATTTCATTTTTCCTTTACTAATTCAGCAGAAGAATGTTAATAATTGATTGTGATGACTAAATATTTGTGAAAGTACCAGGTAATCTGCAAAAAAAAAAAAAAAGATATTATCATTTCTACACATAACTCAATAATATTGTCTCTTGATTTTGAACTACAAGTCCACCTCAAAAACTTTGTGGAAATGGAATTAAAAGATTGCTATTTTAGGGCAAAAAATTCTGAAATTCAGGGTTTTCGTAATATGCATTTTTCACAAACTTCTTGATGATCCCCCACACAGGCTGGGTTCCTGTTAAGTATATCTCAACCGTCACTGTGGTCTGAATAGGAAGTTAGACTGATTATCATTTCCTACAGGTGTTGTAGGGGAAGGTGGGCGCACAGGGCGAGCTTGTTCCCTAACAGGATAATCCTGATTTGAAATACTTTCATCTAAAATGACATCAGCTATGATTCTGGTGGTAACTGTTAAACCTTGTTCTAGCTAAACTAAGGTGTAGAGCAGGGGAGGACCCACCTCCTCTCCAGCCCATCTACCTCACTCCTACCAGGCTGGACACAGTGGTAAAAACCGTTACTGCTGTTCCTTCCCTATGTCTGCATTACGCAGAGAACTACTTTCTCAGGAAAGTCCGACCCAGGCTCCACGTTGACACAGAAACCAGACGTGGAACCAGGTGCTGGGTGAGCTCCTCGGTGTTCAAAGGCAGGCAGGAGCTGGCAGTGCTGCCCATCGGCTCAGCCAACTACTAGCCCAGAGCAGCTGCCAGAGGCAACCTCAGACCTCTCTGGAACCCAATGTTAACAGAAGTTCAGAGGCACAAATAATCATACAGACCAAGCATTAGGAAACAACTGATTTATTAAACTGTCCTTGCACCTACCTGCTACTATCTTTTCTGTCTTGTACTACCATATCCTAAACGTGAACTCAGGTACTTCACTTCGGCAGACACTCTAGAGCTTTGAGGAAAGTATACAAAGTATCCCAAGCATGCCTAAAGAGCAGGGCTCCACCTCCGGACAGCTGTGCTTCTGAGTGGCTGGTCTGCTTCTTATCTCACCAACAGGCAGACTTTTCTTGCTTCCCTCTTTGTTCCGGCTCATCAAACTCACGCAGCTAGCATAAGAGACATGCATCTGCTCGTGCACTGTGTCCCAGCAATCATTTTCTGTGTCCTTCCTTATTTTTTTCTTGCTCCCATCTAACTAATCTGGGGGAGGTGGAGAATGGGAAAGGGAGAGGGAAAAAAGAGAGAGAAGGAAATATATATATATATTTTTTCTCTATTTCCCTAAGATGGTAGGCAGGAAATATGAAATGAACTAATTTTAGTGTAAGTGTGGTATAGCTTTTAATCTTACCACTAAGATAGATTTGTTACATATGATAAGATCATGAGTGTCAATTTTCCTGCAGATGTGTAAATAGGTAAAAATGCTAACGGGGACATCCTGTCTAGAGAGAGATTACCAAATTAAGTCAGAGAAAGTGCACCAAAGCAATCAATAAGCATAGTGTACAGCAAAATAAAAGACTTGTATCATTTTTCTTAAGAGTGAAATGTAATTTCTCTCCACCTGCAGCCCCACCCCTGCGTCCCTTGTATGGTGATCTATCTGGTGCCAGCCCCTCCATGGGTCAGAGAGCCACTACCAGGTCCTGTGTGCAACACCAGTCTTGTTGCTGTCATTCTCCTTCCCTGTAGGTAAGGAGAGACAAAAATATTTCCAAGTTTATTCACCAATGTTTCAAGCCCCTATTATGTGTGAGGCATTACAGACATTAAAGTCTAAATGGCTGCCTTTACAGAAAATTATTTTTTAATCAGGTATATAAAATAGATTCAACAAGGGAAAAACAGCACTCATAAATTAAAATAATGGCTGAGTTGTATCTGGAGACCACTAACCCACAGTCTGCTCCACTCTCCAGGGAAATTAAGGAAATCAACAAGAACACAAGAGGGATGAAGGTGGTGGGGGAGGTGACAGGCGAGGAGAACAAGGGGAACAGACAGCAAGCTCAGGGTGATGACATTGCCACCCAATCAGATACTGGTGGCTTAGAACAGAAGAACAATAATGCAACAATGCAAGACCACCTTCCACCCGAGGGTAGCAGACACTCCAGTCACTCCTTCCACTGTTCCGGGAAAGTTGAGGAAATTTAAGGGCAGGGGCCTTTTTTTTAGGGATGGGATGCCTTTGGGATCCTGTGGTCCTCCTCCAGACCTTCAGGGTATCTGTGGCCAGAGGGTCTGCTTCTAAGGTTAAAATGAGAGATAAAGTACAAAAAGAGGTTGATGTGGCCCAGGGAAGGCAAATAATCAAGCAGTCCATTAAGCTTGTCTTGGATAGCTAAGCCAATCAGACAGGAACAAGAGAACAGTCACAGCCGCCTTCTACTCCCCCCAGCACCATCTCCTGGCAACTCTCCCCACCCTTACACGGTGCCGTTCTCCGCTCTCCAGTGGGAGGTGCTGTCGTCCTACGTGAACCACACTCACGCTGGCTCCAGCAGAGCAATGCAGACATTTAACAGTGAGGTCCGTCTCTACCCAAGGGCTGAAGTTCCACACTCGGAAGACAGGAAATACAAATGGCCAGCTTTTCAGCTGGAATAAGCTGGCAGCCTGTACAGGGAGGGCGGGGTGAGTAGGAAACGGACCATCTTCATGGTGTTTGCGTTCCTGAAACCCGGTAGTGTCTCTGCCA